ATAAGTACTGGGGTATTTTGGTTTGTTTTTTTTCGTTTTTGACCACGCCACGTGGCTTGCAGGATCTTAGTTCCCCGAGCAGGGATTGAACCCCGCCCTCGGCAGTGAAAGCACTGAGTCCTGACCACTGGACCGCCAGGCACTTCCCTAAGTGCTGGTTTTAATGACCGATTTGAACACCGTGAGAACAAGCCACATCATTCCCATGTCCCATTGTGGGCTGGATGCATTGTTTCAGATTTTTAATAACTGGTTGCGGGGAGGGGCATAGAGAGAAGGGGCCTGCCGACATGATGCCCCTGGACGGCAGGGTGGGCACCCCCAAGCCCGGGAGACCCGAGGACCTTGGCAGGAGGGTCGGGGGTCCCTGCAGCCTTCTGGACCTGGGACCCGAGGAGAGGCAGGGAACCCAGCGCCTTAGCACAGGCTGCTTCCCAGAGATAAGGGCCCTCCGACTGTGTAATTAGCACAGCAGTCATGGGGAAGGGGGGGGGGGTCAGGCTGAGGGGGAGAAAGCCTTGCGGGCGGCTCCTGGGCCAGAGCCCTTGCTGGAGAGGGGCCCACAGGCAGCTCTGTGGGCGGCTCAACCTGGTCTTGGAAGGGAACCGGCCTTTGGTGGATGGAACTGAATAGCATGGGCGGGGGTGGGGCGGCGATGCTCGCTTCACTCCGGCTGCCTCATCCCTGGTTCAAGTTCCCTAAAGAGTTTCTAAGTGGAAGGGGTGTGGGGGGAGGACCTGCCAGGCCCAGGGGAGGGTGAGCTGATGTTGTGGGCGTCCAACCCTCTCTGAGGCTCAGGTGAGCTGGCCCGGGGTGGGCGTGGGGCCCATCTGCCCCACTTTGAAGCGGGGGCACCCTCTCTGGCCCAGGTGGTTCTTTAGAAACCCTTCTTTGGAAGGGAAAGGGGCCTGAAGTTGCAGGCGGGCCCAGCACCCTAACTGGCTCTTACAGTGTGTCCTCTCTGCAGGGGGAGAGGCCTTCTCCTTCAAATACAGCCCCGGGAAGCTGAGGGGAAACCAGTACAAGAAGATGATGACCAAGGAGGAACTGGAGGAGGAACAGAGGTAGGCCGCCCACCCTCTTCGGGGTCACTCAGCTTTCTCCAGTACCGGTACCGCCGTGAGCCCCCTTCGTCGCAGGCGGGAGAGGAGGAGGGCCTCCTGTAAGCTTCACCAGCCCCCCACTCTTCCATTTCCATTTTAGGGGTTTCTCCCCCCCGGTCCTGGCAATATTCGGCCAGGCTCGATTTCCCCCGACAGTCCCCTTGGGGCTCTCGGGAGGAGCGTGTGACGGTGATGGGGGGGAGGGTGGCCGAGCCTCTTCTTGCACCCCACCCCTCCCCCGCCAACAGGGAAAAAGCAGATGCCTGGGAAGAGCCTGGAGCAGATCTGGCTGTTCACTTACACGGAGGGTTCATGACAAAACCAATCCATCACTGCAGGACACAGCATGATTCTTCCTGCTCATCCACTTGGCCACAACCCCCCTCAGCACCCCCGAAACCCCCCAGCCCAGGGCCAGCAGTCATTTTTTATCTGTTCTGCTCCACGGAGCTCTGAGGCAGTTGCAGCTACGCAGCTCCTCATTTTTAGAATTGGGCTCTTGCCCCGCCAGCCCCGAGCCGGGCACCCATTCACACCCCTGGGCTTCCCTCCTAAGGAGCAGTGGGGACAGGCCATGGGCGAGAACCAGTGGTCTGACACGGGCCAGCCTGTGGCCTGGGGTCCTCTGGTTTAAGCACAGAGCTAAATGGGGGCCTGTGTTTTCTGAGCCCAGCAACCCGGAGGGGCTGGGTGATCACCCCCTACTTCCTAGCTAGCGTAAGCTGGGTTCTAGGGTCAGGAATGGAGACTTTATTATTCCAGGATGCAGATCTCAACTACCCTTTCATTATCACCAAGCCCACCCTGCACCCCTCAAGTCAGAAGGCCCTGTGCCCACGAGAACCCCCTTTCCCCTCCTGGAGCCGCCGCCAGTCCTTCCAAACCTGGCCTGGAAGGCTCTTCACCAGGGGCGGAGGGGTGGCAGGGTGAGCCCAGCCTGGGGAAGCCCCCTACTCCTCGGTGCCCAGCCGCTGCCTCTGGGTGTGATCCGGTTTGCTGCCTTTATATTTCAGGATTGAGCTGACCTCTGACCTCACTTCCCTGTAGCAAGTTCCTTAGGTCCTGAGCCACAAATATCCTTGCAAATCCTTTTGGTAAGGAGACTGACTTCTTAGATTAGTGGTGCCTCCCTCATCCTGTCTGTTACTGTGTCCCCATCACGACTGAATGTGGTCCAAACCTCTCCTCCTCCGCTGCCTTCATAACCAATTAATTCATTTCTGTGCACCCGGGCTCCAGGGCAGGGCTCCTGGGTGAACAGGCTCCCTTCACAGGGCTGCAGGGTTCTTGGAGGCCCAGTTAACGCAAATCCCTCCTGGGCCTAATGGGCCAGCTGGTTGGAGGGCCAGCGCCCCCTTGTGAGGCTGGGGGTGGGGGGGGACTGTCTTCTGCTGGACTGCGTGGTGTCACGCCTGCAGCTTTCATCTTTCCCTGAGAAGGTAGAACGGTGCCCGGCCGAAACCCTGTGCCCCCAAGTTGTGGGTGAGACAGCGTGTTATGATCAGAGCAAGGGCTGGTGGAGTGCAGCCCAGTTTTTGTAAATCCAGTGTGACTGGAACAGGGCTGCGGTCACTGTTTTTCTGTGGTCTGTGGCAGCTTTTGCACTGCAGTGGTTGAGCTGAGTAGTTGCAGAGGGACCACATGGCCCACAAAGCTGAAAAGAGTCAGTATGTGGCTCCTTCCAGAAAAGGTGTGCAGCCCCAGAGTTAAGGATGGAGGGGGCTTGACGTGCCTGTGGTCCCTCGAAGGGCCCTGTGGACAGAGGCTGCGACCGGGACCCTGGCCCTATTCTGTGTGCTCTGCAGAGATGAGGGGCCATTAGAATAGGAGAGGCCAGTTAGCCAACTCAGTGGCAGGGCTTGGGCCAGGGTCAGAATGCCACCATCCCTGGGTTCAGTGCTGGGACCTCAGGGAGGGAAAGTCCTTCCTCCATCGTGTTCAGACAGCAGGCTCTGCGTTGCCCAGGAGGGTCTTTCCCT